CCCGTTATCAGACACGCGATTTGTATATTTAAGTATAGCAGGATAGGTGTTATTATTATTTTTTTGTTTTACATAGGACCAGAATGCTTTAGGATTAGTAGTGATGTTTTTTTCAACATTATCAATATATTTATCATACATTTCTTTTTCTACAATTTTTGCCCGATCTCTTAAAGCGACATAGGATTGAAAGTCGTGTAGGTTACTGTATTTTTTTATACTTTGAGTGATGCTTATGCTTCTCCTTTAATATTTTTATAAGGGGTCTCCCAAACCATGGGGGATATTTTGACGACGGGGTTACTAATTTAGAAGGTATATAATCTGTACGCAGGTTATTTAACACACCATAGAAAAATGAAACTGCATCATTTAACGATCCACGACGTAATTCGAGATTCCAGTCAATTTCATTAATTGAAGTGTTAATTGAGTCATAATCACCATACTGATAAAAGTGTTTTGTATAAGGCCGCGATTTAAGAGGGCAGATTCGCACAATTTTCGATGAAATGCATAATGCTGGGTGATACGCATCTTCTGGCACTAACGGATTACAGCAGCGACTTACAGTGACTCCACTAGTCGAAAATACTAAATCTAAGATTTTACCGTAATTGTTAACTATATGCTTATACTGTGATAAATTACATACGTTAATAGAATCATATAAATCTCGTTGAGCAGAACCACTAATACTCACTGGAACAAAAGACCCAACAACCGTCGCGTCAGCTACCCACGTCAAGTTAGATGAATTAAAGTCACCGACAACGATTACCTGATCGCAAGGATTATTCAAAACAATATCAGAAAGATGCTCAGAAAATAGTGTCAGTTGGTCTGATAAGGAGTTGTCCATATTATCATCACATATATATACAGTACATAAGTTAAGTTTAAATGTAGTTTTCGGCTTCTGGTGTTGAATTTTAAGAGTCACCCACAAATCTTCAGCAGTAGAGCACCAGTCAGTTTGGACGGCAGCGTTGAACTCTTTACGTACGGCAATTAGTATTCCACCACCCAATGATTGTTGAGTTTTAGAATAATTCCGGTCGCGCCTCCATAAGATGTATCGATTGTCAAATAATTCACTGTCTTTTATACCTTCCAACAACCAAGTTTCTGTTAAACATATGACATCAAACGAATTCAAACAAATGTTTCTATAGAAATCAGATGTTTTGGTGCGTAAACCACGTACGTTCTGGTAGTAAACATCAAGCATTTTTAAAACAAGATGTATAATGTACTGAGTGACATAACTTGTAATGGCAAATTAGGTAAATATACGTTGTTAAAAAATAATTACATCGTGACATCGTAAGGAAAATATTAAAAAATACTAAACAGAGCATCAAAGCACCTGGAATATGAATGCGCTTACCTCCTATTCGCGTAATAAACATTATAATACCCGTGCGCCAAAGCGAACAAGCGCAACAGGTGAGATAAACAGAAGCAAAAGCAGGTAGCTGTACGTCGAGCATTCGAGTAAAATAACATGATCGCGAAATATAAGTGTCCACGCGCACGCGCTGATCACGTGATAGGCGAGTTAGCGAGAAACCAGCGGCTCTCAAACCACAACATGAGTCATTAATACATTGTACACAAACATTTAGCCATTTTAAAAATTGTAATAAAACAGCTAATAATAAGAACAAATTTAAGGTAAGCACGATATAGCTCAAACGTTTAACGCGTAATATTAGTTCAGCTAATACGATATAAATTAAACAGTTGAAAAGCAACTTAACAAAAAATATGGAGAATATTATAACTATACTAACTTTTTTAAGTCTGCTTCTGATTTTATAACTATGACGTGGGAAGTAGGGCTTTTTCTCACATATATTTTGCACCCTTTTACCCACGTATACGCAAAATCCTTCTCTTTAGCCAGTGTCTTCACCTTGTTAAGCAGAAGTTTATCTTCCAGATTGAGATGATCGTTGACAAATATCCTGTTATTCCCGGAGAGATTCAGGTCTGCTGGAACAATAGTGCTCTTCCTTGCTGCAGCCACGAAGTCCTCCTTGTTATATCTGTTATGCACTGATACTATTATTGTTTTATTAACTTTGTCATTTCTCATGGGGATCCGAGCTATATAGTTTATTTGTTCCCTGGGTATAGGACACTTAATGTGTTCACCGAGTTTGGCGAAAATCTGGAACAGATTTTCAGATTGAGTTACGGGCACTCCCTTTATCTCAATATTGTTCATACGAGATCTTCGTTCCCCATCTCGTACCAAGCCCTCCAATTTCTCCATTCGCTGTTGCAGATGTTGAACTTCGTCTTTTGTTTTGAGTAGTATCTGGATTTCTTTTTCGATATTGCATATCTTACTTGATAAAGTGTCAACAGAATTATGCACATAATTAAGCGATTCCTTTACATCCGTAAGGTTGTATTTTAGATTCTTCAGCTCAGCCAGCTCTGTATGAATGCTCTTAACGCTGTCTGCCAGCTGCGGAAGTGATGCAGTTATGGCTGACAAACGCTTTAATTCAGCCATCACGTCGTCCAAGTCCACAGGTGGGTTGGGACTCGTTGGGTTTTTGCAAGAGGCGCATCTCCAGGTGGCTTTCCTGTCACCAAGTTTACGAAAGCCCCCTTCCGTGATCCCAGCGCATGGGAAGTCATAATGGCAGCGACACACTGAGCACTGGACTCCATCTCTACATTCACTGTTACATCGCTTACATTTAAACATTTTAGTTATTAATTATTTTGTGATTGAAAACTTTGAGAATCACTGACTGACAGAGACAACAATAATAGTGGTATAAATACGTGTGTACGGTCCGGTGTCGACGGACGGAATGGAAAAATTAACCAGGAATAGCCAGATGCCGTAATTATGGGTCTCCGAACCCTGTACCAAATGTAGAACCCGTGCCACCGGACCGCATGGTGAGTTGACCTCTGGATTCTTTCCTTCATTAGATGCTTCGTCATTTATATCAATGTACTGTAACAATCTGTATTGTTGCAGGGTTTTTCTTTGTTGTCTTAGTTGTACCTTTGGTACTTGTAATTTCGAATCCAGCCATCAACTGAATGGCTGAGACTAAGCTGCTGTAACTTTTGTTCGGCTGTGCCCGGCCACGTGTCATGAGCTCCACGGGTGGTCGGCATCTACGTATAACTTCGTTACTCCTGTAGCAACTACGCTGTCTTCGCAGCGGATCTGGTATGTAACTTAAATGTGCATCCGACAAACTCCAGGTCAGTGACGTATAAGTGAAGTGTCCATGTGTCACTCATGTACTTTCATAAACTCTTAGTGCAGTGTATTAGCTCTAAGTATACTTAAAGGTAACCTTTTGTATGTAACTAATAAGGGCAGTAAACATATCCGTACTCTCCTTTTGTAAACTCGGGGAAGTAAAAATACTAGTTCTCCATACTGTACCCTTAGATTTAAACTGTAACATGTAACTAAGGTAAATTTAAAATAAAGCATTCTGGTTATTTCTACTTGAAACTTGTTTTCGTTGTGTGTAAGGCGCCCTTCCTTCTCCTCGCTTATAAATTTTACACGCAGCACCGGGTCAACCAGAACTCACCCACCAACCAGTCTCATGCTCACTCAAACCGACTGGAGCTGACCATTACAGCTTATACTAAAGTTTATTGTTTGAATTCCCATTGGGGTGACAACGACTACCGAAGTACCGATTGCTTTCGCCCCACGTACACTTGTCAATCTTTTTAAATAAGCCTATGCAGTCCAACCTTTTTAACAACATTCTAAATTTGATTTGAGAATTCCGTCATGACCGTTTCGATCTTTACGTTGGTTCTATTTATATCTTTCACCACTGTTTTTATTTATCCGCTGTTATACGTTAATTAATAGAATAGTGCTTAATTAATACATATCTTCCAGAAATAAATACGCGCTGATATACCTGCTCGTCCCTAATTACATTTCTACACACACCCTACTCACCCTCTCTTGACATCGAAAAACACACACGAACACCCAAACGTTCACTCTTTTATTGTTAACCCTGACTGTACTATAATGCTGCCTGTGGAGTACTAAAATGACCACAACACAGATGTTCATAACCCAGGCTAAACTAACGTGAAAGTCAGAATATAGACAACCTTGAGTCAATAGCAAGAAGGCGCAAATTCTATTGTAACCTTTTTGCAAAAAACATATCGATTATAAAAATTTTATTACTACCACGGTTCCCTCATCAGGCAAGGCTAGATCTCCTTCAGACGACCTATTTATATAGAAATTTATGATGTATTATACTTAAATAAAAATTTCTGCAGTATTTTCAGCATTGCTGCGTTCCGGTTCTGAAGGAAAAGGGTGCTGGTGAAATTACAAGCACCTGTCAACTTATATCTCAGGGTGATGGGCGCAGTGGCAGTGCCTATCAGATCCAAATTACTTGGCGGCAGAAATAGGTAAGGTGGCAGTACTTCCCTGGACGCACTCTTTTACAACGAGCTGTACTGTTGCTAAAAGTAGGTAAAAAGGTAGTTGCAAGGTGGTAGGTCAATGGATGTGGCTCGCAAAGGATCGTGATGGATGGCACAAACTTCGGGAGGTCTTTACCCAGCAGTGGGTGAAATAAGGCTGTGGATGATAAATAAAAGCGAAAGAAGTTATGTCTTGCGACGGCGGTCGGGAACTTAAACTTTGGTTTAGACGAAGGCAGTGGTATGAAAATATGATGTAATTTAAAGCTCTAAGTGGCATTGCAATTGTTATGGGTAGGGTCGCTTATCCGACAAAAAAAAAAGGAAATAGAAGCTACGGTCACGGTGAGTATTAGTGTATTATTAGCGATTCGGTTTTAAAAGACTGGTGATACGACAGGCGTATGGGACTTGTCAAGTTTCAGAATGACGGCTGTAGTGGCAGAGTCATGTCATGGCTGAGAGGCGCTTGCAACTGTCAAAGATAGGCGTGCCACTTACTTGGTATCACAAATAAAGATAAAAGACTGGTTGTAACTTACCACCGTGAGTTTCACAAATTAGTTCAATGGTGTCCCCTTCGTTGTAGGGCTCCAGAAGTCTTGTTTGATCATGAGTTTTTGCATCCAGGATTGTGGGGCGGTCAGGTGGTGCTATAAGAAAATACACAATTTTATTAAACTTAATAACTAAAGGAGTAACTTCACAAAAATTAATTGAATGAATTACAGTTAATACCGACATCTCTAACCTGGTCTGGTAGTTGTAGAAGTATCTAACTCTTAGATGGCGCTACGGCTAAAAAGTTGTTGAAAACCAAATACAAAGATCCGACAACGAGCACGCAAAAAAATTCGTGAGGTCCGCTGGTTCGTTCCATGGCTTAGTTAACATAGCGTCTGGCACGGGTTGCTAGGAGACCTCGGCGTCGGTTCGAATTCGGCCGGATCGAAGAATTTTTTTCTGAGTGTTCGATCTTTGTATTAACAATTATAACAAACTAGAGGAGTAATTTCACAAAAAATAATTGAATATCAATTCAAATTTAATAATTCAATAAAAATTTTACTACAGAAAAATACTTAATAATAAATACCTAGGACCAAAGTGCGGATGACCTCGAAACACCAGGTCAAGAGTAGGATAACCTTTGCCTGATCTTTCTTTATCTGAAGATCTATTCGCGTATATTTCTTTTTTGAAACAAGCGAACATTTCAAGAATTTTACAGGACCCATGGTCAGCCGAGACTGTGAGCAGATATATGTGACTTACATTCGAACAATCGCGAAAACCTAAGCACCTAAAGTTCCAAATCCCTTTCGAACATTACTCCAGAATCAGGTCTCCTAAAAGACGCACTTTATTACGCAATATATCGTACTAAATTTACTTCCAGCAAGATAATCTTGTTATAGATTATCCTCAGAGAAACAAGAACGAAACTTTCTCCGTCGAAATTACAGATATTTCCCTACTGGGACTTCGACACGAATAACAGTATGAATAAATTTGTTTCCTAATATTTATTCATAATGATTTCATTTAAACATATTTATGTGGTCCGTGATTCAAGCGGCCCAGAAGTGCTAGTTGATCTGCTATAAAGTAAAGTCCATTTTAAATGTGCAATTGAATCATTGACTTACAAATAAATGGACGACGGGTCTAATACAAAAACCACGAAAAAAATGTCCCAAGTCGACCTATTTAAACGTAGTGACATTTAAAGGAATATGAAAAAGCTAAAACGTTGGATTTAAATTGTAATGTCATCGCAGTGCTGTCTAATTTTGCTTGCTTCGCTGTCAGTCGAACAAACGAAGACTAAAGCGTGAATGACGCTCTGTATACGATTTTAACGCCCTATAAGTTCGGACACTTTTTAGCGCAGACCCGACGTCCATATAATTGTAAGTCAATGAATTGAATGAATAATTTTATTTATGCATTCTTTTGTGCAATGTTGTGGCAGCACAGTTACTTGTGAAAGAGTCCGTCCAAATACTTCCAGCTTACCTATTTCTGCTACGGCAGATTTCTCGCTCTCATCCGCTCCGTATTCGGAACCTGGACCCCGATTCAGAATTATTCGATATTTTAACCGAAAAAAAGAAAATTCTTTTATATACATTTTTAAGACTTTGATGGCCTAAAATATAGGAATGCGTTAGTCTTGCATTAAAATAAATTAATAAAATTGAACAAAATCCAGACTTTATTTGTTATATATTAATAATAAATGATTTCCATATAAACTTTTATTCGATAACTGTGATCTGAATAACGTTTGTAGCCTTTGCCGGTCGAGATGCTCCAGTAATCCATACGGGTGTGACGTCATTTCGGTTCGGTTTCGAATACGATAGTTTGACGTTCGATTCGGGAGTTGTGAATAAAAAAAGAAATCGTGCGATATCAAATCGAATCGGTCGAGTAACTGAGTTATCGTAAGGTTCTGAATTGACCCCCTGGTCGGTTAGTATTAGACGTTATTGAGTTCAGTGAACGACACTTTCAGCTTTTTATTTTGGACCTTATCGTAAGTGACATTAAGTCGAATTGAGATCCTTAGTTCTTAGTAGCAGTAGAGGTCCTTGTGCAATTAAGCGGTAATGTGAGCATTACTACGTTCCAATTTTGAAGGGTAAGGGTGCTGGTGAAATTACAGGCACTTGAGATTTGTCAACTTATGTCTCAGGGTGACGGGCGCTGTGACAATGCCCCTTAGATATTTGCGAGTTAAAGGTCTGAGTGACACAGCAACTGTTATAGTTAGGCGTGTCGCCTATAGACATGAGCGCCGATAACAGACCAACCGGCGGCGGCGCGCCGACAAAAAAGTGTCAGCGGCGGCGGCGTTTCGGCGGCGCGAAAACGAGTTTGTACCTCGGTGTTTGTTTATACAAAAACCGTTAAGCAGATACTTTTTCAAAGGAAAAAATAAAATAACGTATTTTCTATACTAATCAAATTTCTATCAGTTCGATCAGGCGCTCCGATCGTACACACGCGCACGCTTTCATTTTGTGTATGCGCGGTGAAAATGGCGACGCCAGAAATTGGAAATTATTTTTTTAAACAAAACATCTTTAAATATAAAGTCACTAACTAAGTTTTGTCGCCTACCTATGTCACCTCTGCTGAGGCCGGACGGCACGCTGGCCTATACTGCAGAAGACAAGGCAAATCTTTTTGCCTCACTCTTTGCAAGGAGTTTGCGTCTCGATCTCATCTTACCTCAGACTGGCTGCATTAAGGCTCACGCGATGCGCTACCCCCACCTACACAGCTCTTAAAGGATAGGATAAACCTACCGCAATATGGCGGCTATCTGGTTTCGCAAATTAGAAAAGCATTCAGTTTAAATACAAGTTTGTATAAATAAAAGTTATTATTCTGCATTGCTAAATAAATACCCTCCGCACTACCAACAAAAACATCTCAAATAAAATGCAGTAATACACCGCAAATCCTGCACTTAAAAAGCACTAATGAAATTTTTGGTGTACTTGAATAAATATGATAATATTCCGTTTGAGTAGTTCTAACGTTTACCATGAAATTACTCCTTAAAGTATAGTTTATAAACATTTATATTCAGGGTAAACTTAAAAAACGCTACTTACGGTATGTTTTCAATAAATAAACACCGAAATCACCAGCCCAAACAATAACACTCACATGATTGTCGTGACGTATTTTTGAAGTTGTTTATTTTTTTTAAATGACAGACCCAGGCATTAAAAACTTTATGGTTTGCTAGAGTAGTTACCGAAATAGCAATTAATATTAGTTCTTTTACCTGTTATAACTTCGATATCCGATAAATCGGTATAAAATCATCACCGGCACCTCTAGGTGTGATATGCTTCCAGAGACGCATGAATCGCGCAATGCTCTGTGGCGGCATGCGTTCACGGCTGCATATATCGCGTGAACGGATATAACTTTGCGAAATCTAGACGTGAATAAAGCTAGCGGGCCAGATGGAATTCCAGCACTAGTCCTACGTAACTGTGCGCCTGAGTTGTCTCCTGTTCTCACACGCTTACGCCTGTACCGCCTTTCGCTTGAGACTGGTATAGTACCCAGGTCGTGAAAGCTTGCAAACGTGCAACCTGTGCCGAAAAAGGGAAGCAGAGCTTACTCTGTCAACCATAGACCTATCTCAGTCACTTGCATACTCTGCAAGACTATGGAACGTGTACTCAACAACCGTCTCTTGTCGTACCTTGAAGATAACGACCTCCTCAGTGATCGCCAGTATGGATTCCGACTAGGGCGACCTACTGGGGATCTTCCTATGTATGCCTATCACATATGGAACGAGGCTACTGAAAAGCAAGGTGAAGCACTTATAGTGTCTTTGGGTATTTCTAAAACCTTTGACAGGGTCTGGCACGCAAACCTTTTAAGTAAACTTCCCTTTTATGAGCTTCCAAATTTGCAATTGGATCTCGGATTTCTTGAGCGAACGTTCGATTCGAGAGGTCTTAGAAGGCTACTCTTCCGAACATATAGCGATAGATTCCTCAAGATTTCGTACTGTCTGCAACTATCTTTCTACTGCATATCAATGATATGTTAATTCCAGGTACCTTTGCATATGCCGATGACAACACAGTTGTAGATAGGTACTTGACCAATGCAAGGGTCAGTGGAGAGGAAATCCAAACTTGTCGGGAGTCCATGATTAGCCGTTTGGATTTGACACTCAAGTCAGTCTCCAATTGGGGCGATGCCAATCTTATCAAATTTAACGCTACCAAACGAAAGCGTATCTATTCTCCACAAAACGGAGTCCCTTTGAGCTGACTCCGACTTTTCGTCATATATCTCTACCGATAGCCGACTGTCTTCAGCTACTTGGTATGGTTCAGTCGTCCAATTTGTACTTCGGCAGATACGTTGAATCCATGGCCAAACATGCAGCAACGAAGCTTGGGGCCCTTTCCAGGGTGAAGCGTTACTTCACACTGGGACAGTTGCTTCAGCTGTACCAAGCACAAAGCCGGTCGTGCATGGAGTACTGCTGCCATCTTCAGGAGGGCTCTGCTACACGCCAACTGGCCACCTTGGATTCAATTGACAACCGTGCCAAGAAGCTTATAGGAGACTCGGAATCAGAGAAGGCGAAGCTGCAGAGCCTTGAACACCGCCGCAAAGTTAGCTGGCAACTTCGGTATCGGTATTTTACAGGATATATCACGGAGAGTGTGCAATGGAATTACACGATTTAAATCCGCTTTCCCCTTTCCATCACCAGGCGACTAGGCGTAGACTTGGGTTCCACCTGTATGTTGTGGATATTCCAAAGATTCGCACGAAGAGTTACGCTTCCACATTTATATGGCGACTATGGAGTGGAATTCGCTGCCTGCAGACTTGTTCCCTGAACGTTATAACTTGGGCCTTTTCATGGCGAAAATTCGTCCATCGTCGACCTCATCGTCACTTTCCATCAGGTGAAATGGAGGTCAAATGCGAAATTACATTTTATTAAAAAAAAAATAAGTTTTATCTTAGAAAAGTCATTTTTTGGCGTCGGATTTTCACATACACAATGTGGAAGCGTGCGCGTGCGTACGATCGGAGCGCCAGATCGAACTAAACGTCGCGCAGATTGCATTTGTCAGCGGCGACGGCTCGA